AATTTATGTAAAATATGTTACAAAATCTGGGATGCTAAATAATTGACACAAGTACTGTGTTTGACATTTAGTTTCATTTAAATTAGTAGTAGAGTTTGCATTTTTCAACATTTTGCATCTTATTTTCTTTCTGACTTTGTATATTTTCAACAAAAATGTGCTGTACTTGTAAACTGCAAAATCTATTTAAATTCACATATATAGAAAATTTGCTTTACAATTTTTGTTTATTCTCCAAGCTACTCTTAAATTTGCCGTGATAAATCTGCATAAAACTAGACTTTTGTAGATATAATTTCTCTTGATGAGATAATAAATTAAAATTTTGACATTGCTTTTCACTAATCCTTTTCTTCATTGTTTTTGATTGTATTTGACCCTTATTGGGATGACATAGTCGATCTATTTTTGATGTTATGAATATAAAATGACAATATAAAAAAGCACTTCTCCTAGTGTTACAGTAATTGAAACTTGCAGTTTTATATTTCAAAAAACAAACAAAAACCCCCCCAAAAGAATGGTTACCATAGATAAAATAATAGTTTCAAACAATAACCTGTGTCAAGCAAACAGTAGGAACAACTTGATTATTTCAGCCCCTGGAAAGTTGGGTTTTCTTAATTTGATTTGAATTTGCTTTATAATACAATTGCATAATCANTTTTTTTTTTCATTCTATCCACTGTCTCATGATATTCTCTGGCTCTGATCAGAGAGAGAAAGCTTTTAGTACAGAGGAAAGACTAACAGCCTTTGAATTTTGAGAATGGTTCAACAGTATCAATTCTTAGCCCTCTGTTCTTGGGTGAGGGCTCAACTTCTTTGAAATTATGTTTTCATATGACAACAAAATGAGATAATTTATGTGAAATGTGGTTTGTAAACCTCAAAATATTGCATAACTTTGTTGTTTGCTGCAGCTACTGCTGTTATTGTAACCACACTAGGTCAAACTTTCCATTTTTCAACTCCAAACATAGGTAGACATTTCAGTTGTTGGAATAGGTGAGTAGTAAACAGGAAGGGAGACATGGGGGAAGGTGATTAGGAGGAGGAAATGGGAGATTATGGAATGTTGAAAAAGTAGGTTAGAAATAAAACTTTTAGACACAGACTGATATAAATTGCAAATGTGTGATAAAGATTCTAGACACAATC